TTGGAAAGGGAATGGAGATCCACCACTGACTGTACCTGCCTAGAGCCAAACTTGCAACGTCTGTCCTGGGCAAGATCAAGTCAAAGACTGAAGATCACGGTCCAGGACGGGCGTGGCAACTTTGGCTGACTTGATCTGATTGGGCAGGAATACAGTCTACTACCCAATGGTGGAGTCTCCATCTCAGTGCTGGAGAAGCAAGTTGGTCATTTTGGATTTTTAAAAACTTTGCATTTGGTGCAACAGCACTTTTGGTGGCCAGGCCTGAAAAAGGACATTGAAAGTTATGTACAAAGCTGTGCTACCTGTGTCACTATGAAAAAGCCTCCTGGTCTGTTACAAGTGGCAGATCCTTCTCAGCCTTGGGAGGAGATAGCCATGGACTTTATTGTAAAATTGCCAGAAAGTAGGGGAAGCACAGTGATCTGGACTGTCATTGAACTTTTCTCAAAGCAAGCTCACTTCATCGCTTGTTCAGGACATCCATCTGCCCAAAAGCTAGCCAAGTTGTTTTTAAAATACATCTATCAGCTCCATGGGGCACTGAAACGGATTATATCAGATAGAGGGGTTCAATTTACTGCAAAATTCTGGAGGGAGTTTGTGAAACTCATTGGGTCTACCCAGGGGCTTTTATCTGCTTTTCATCCGAGTACGAATGGATCGCCTGAACATGTGAACGCAATGGTGGAACAATACCTCAGATGTTATGTTAATTACCAACAGACTAATTGGGCGGACCTCCTGCCTTTCGTCAAAGTGGCGTACAACAACACTGTACACAGTAGCACTGGACTTACGCCCTTTAAAATAGCTACTGGTCGGGATTTTGTCTCTATGCCCGAATACCCCCAAGAACCTCCTGCTTCACAAACCTTAGATCAGTGGGTGACCTCTTTGCAAGTGGTTTGGGCCAATGTGAAAAAAGCTTTAACCCAGGCTGCAAAGACATACAAGGAACAGGCTAATAAAAAACAATCTCCCCAGAAGCCATTTCATGTGGGGGAGAAGGTTTATCTTTCCACAAAATATCTAAGATTAAAATTACCAAGTAAAAAATTGGAACCTAAGTTCTTTGGTCCTTTTCCCATAGTCAAAATTATAAATCCTGTCACAGTTCAATAGCAACTCCCACGACTATTAGGGAAAGTTCACCCTGTTTTCCATTGCAGTTTGTTAAAACTGGTCACAGAATCGTCCTTGCAGCCGATTCCCAAAAAAGCGCCCAGCCCCATTCTGGTAGAGGGAGAGACTCATTATGAGGTAAAGCATATTCTTGACTCTAGATTGTATAAGGGTAAATTACAATTATCTGGTCCAGTGGAAGGGCTACCCTTTATCGGAGGCTACCTGGGTAAAAAGTACTGATGTGAAAGCAGACAGATTGATTCAGAGGTTTTATGATAAATATCCATATAAACCCAGGGAGGATTCTTAACTTGTGTTTTGTTTCATTTGCAGGACTTGCTTTCTTCCTGGGGGGTCTGACTGTCAACTCTATAACGAACCTGGCTGCAGCCATTTTGCTCATTCTAGCTTGCCACAAGAATGGTAGGGGTGCAAAGGATTTTTACTAGTCTAAATATTTTACTGTCCTGTGGGAACCAAGGTCATTTTTGTCAGTTAGATGGGGGGCGTGAGCATTTGGTTAGAAAGCCCACCAAACTGTTCTATTCTATTGATTGCATAGCATTGGGGTGGGAAGTTCAACTTTGTAATATTGTTTCTCTTTGAAGGGGATTTCAGACTTGGTTTCACTTTTGACCGTGCTGATACTATGTAACTAATAAACATGTTCTTTGAGGAAATTTCAAGCCTCGGAGTTGATTTGTTTGGTCTTGTCTATCGGAACCTTGACAGCAGTTTTAACTTCAAATGAATGGTTGTAAGTGGAGGACTGCCTGTAATGCTTTTCTTTCGTCTTACATTACAGTATCAAATTAGAAAAGGAAAAGGAGAGGAATAAAGCTTACAAAATATTGATTGCAGTTGAGTTTATATTATGATCTGCAGGCACATATGTTTGGTGTAGTGATTAAGGTGTCAGATTAGAAACCAGGAGACAGTGAGTTCTAGTCCTGCCTTGGGCACGAAGCCAGCTGGGCAATCTTGGGACAGTCACTTTTCTCAACCCTAGGAAGAAATAACTACCAAGTCACTTCTGAAAAATGCTGCCAAGAAAGGTGGAGGGGGCAGTTCCCAGAAGTCCAAAATGACTTGAGGGCGCAACTTTCAAGCAAGTATGTGACATACTATACTATTTTCTATACTTTAACTATGAAACAAATATTTAACATGTCACTATTACACATATTTGCAATTTATTCATACACTTGTATTGTGTACAAATTTTTACTTGGTTTGGGAAAAGCTACACAAAACATTTTTCCACACATGGGATGTCAGAAGTTAAAGGGAACATTGCAGGGAGGTGGTATATGGGAGTAGGAGGTGTGAAAGTGGTTTGTGTGATAAGTTGGCCAAAGGCCAGGAAGAAACTCAGAGTGAGGTGGAGGTGAGGAAATATATACGTATACTGTATACACAAATATATACGTATACTGTATACACAAATATATAGAAATACCCACAAATACTGAAAAGAAATAATCAAATTTGTAATGTTTATTTTGTAATGTTTTTGTTATATCTAGTTCCTACTTGTTTGTTGTGTTGATGCATTAATAAATGAAGAAATATCTAAACACGTGTGGTTTTCAGAGTCAATATGAGGCCTGCAGGAACCTTTATGTATGGTTTAGCAGCTCCCATTTCTATTTGAGTTTGACACCACTGCACTATACGATGCAATTCTGATTGTAAGGCATAGCTCTAAACATTCAATTGAATTTTGCTAATAAAAGGTTCTTGCCAAGGCACCAGTATATTTAAGATTATAGTTCTTAACTAAGCTAGCCCCCCCCCCCAATAACTTGTTAGGGTTTTCCATTTTATAGTTCTACATCTAATTATCACTAGCTATGCAGAGTACTGTTTGTTCTACTTCTCTCCATTTCACATCTTCCATGCAGCCTTCATATTATATCTCTTTACTCTCCATTTTAGTTCATTCATATCTTTGATTTCTCATTATCTTGAAAGGCAGGATTGAATATTGAATTTAGCTTGCTTTTAATCCACATTTTCCTGAAATAACCGTTACTAGCAAAGAAGCAGATTAGCAGAATATTGAGGAATATTCCAGGATCAATTGATATTAAATTCTGATTATCTTTTGTAGTATTTCTACCTGTAAGGGTTAGATCCATTTTTAAGGACCTCAATCTTTTCCTAAATATGGCAGTTTTAGGAGACGCCATGAAATCAACTTTATCATTAGTACTGCTCACAAAATATTTTTTTAAAAAAATCAACTGGGAATCAATTGTTTCTTTGAAAACATTTACTGTTTTTGCTGGCTGAGATAAAAATTATTATATTGGCATAACACAATTTCAGGACTATCATAGCACTTTTAAAAAATATATGCAAATAACTAAATACCTGTAAATGTATGTATATTCAGTTTGGATGTTCCTAGCTCAAACATTTAAAAATCCAAGAAACACCAACTTTACCTTTTTGAATGCTTTCACAAGTTTCTTTTTGTCATAATCATCAGCAATCCCCTGAACAGTTGTTAATGTCTTTCTACCGTTTCGTTGCTGGATCCTTATATGGATGTAGTCTTCAGTCCCTGCCGGGAGTAAGTCGTCACCCTTAGTTGCATCAGCAAAGGGGTCTGAAAAGGGGAAACCCATATAATGAAAATGATTTTTTCATAGCCTGAATTTTCTAAGTAAACAAATATAGGCTATTGGTACCTTAAAATGCATTATTTGAGTAATAGCAACATGTTACCTTTTATCTAAATGGAGGTCTAATCATACCTCCACATGGATTTTGATGGAGTTTGTTCTCATGGATTCCTTAGTAGCCCAGATTTGATGTACATATTTAGTAGTTGGGTTCTCCACAGTTCAGTACTGAGGTACTGATTAGGTTTTCTGCAGACGTTCTGCCCACATCCCAGCTATGCTTCCTAAGTGCAACTGTTCAGAAATAGGGAGTACCTTGCAATATTGTCTGTGTAAGATTTGAACTTGGGGGGGAGGGCGTCAGTTGGTGATTTGAGGTTTCCTGGGATGTGGTGATTAATTAGTTGCCGAGAATGTTTTCTCCATTTTGATTGGTTGTCTTGTCTGTTTGAGGATTAGGTGCCTGTCTGTTCAAGAAGTTACAGCCCAGTTTTTCTATTATTTATCATAGGCCAATACAAGCTTTCTCTCATTTTAAGAATTACTCAAACACTGATCAAGAATACCCAAGGCAGACTATTGGTGTTGATGAGACAATTTACCAGAAGCAATATATCTAAGCTACAATTTCATCAGACACTTTTACAGTATTTCTTTAAAAACTGCATTGCCCATTCTTACATGCAAATCCACCAACTTTTTAAATGTAAACATTTCACTGCCTGCTTAATATAGCTGTTTTCCATCAAGGTTCTGTTTGATGTTCAGCCTGAGGAAGATATAGTTTTCCTGATATTATGCAGGCCAGCAGCCACCTAAAAGGTACCATATCCTACCTTCAAAGAATTTTTTTTCTGTATTGGTCTATCTAGTGTACAATTCCTGTACACTATCCAAGTAGATCCTGGTATCATTTCCATGATATACTATTGGTTCACAAAGGCACTGAAGAGGTTTGCTGCACTTATTCAAATATTACAGTTACTCCCAGGCAGTTGCACATTGTATCTAGATAGGCCAGTGGGCGTTGCGTTTATAGAGCTATATGCTGCCACTTCTGTAGAAACTGAGCCAAAGCAACCCTTCAGTGTTCACAATGAATAAAGTATTTATAAACATAAATATTTACCTTCCCTGCCATTTGGAAAGTTATAATGTATAACTCAGTAGCTAAAACAGTTACTCCCAAAACATTTAATTTTAAGAGATTTGGGAGCTGGAACTGCATAAGAAATTGAGTACAAAACTGAAGGATCTCTATTCAACTGCCAGCTGTAGCACAAATTGCAGAACATCATTTTTATAAAATAAGGACTGAGTATATATCAAGGCAGGAAGTAACACAAGAACTCCCCCTCCTTTTATATCTTCTCTCCCCTTTTATATCCTCGTCTCTCCCCCCTTCTTTTATATCCTCTCTTCTCTCCCTTCTTTTATATCCTCTCTTCTCTTCCCTTCTTTTATATCCTCTTCTCTCCCCTATATCCTCTCTTCTCTCCCCCTTTTATATCCTCTCTTCTCTTCCCTTCTTTTATATCCTCTTCTCTTCCCTTCTTTTATATTCTCTCTTCTCTCCCCCATCCTCCTTTTCTCTTCATTGCACCTCCAGCTGATTCCTGTCAAGGCTGCGCTTCTCCGTCTCTTTTGCAATCCCCTTCTCTTCTCCCCCCCCCCCCGTTGTCCTTTTTTCTCTCCCCCTCCTGCCAAAACCTTCTCCTTTCATAGCCTCTCCTCTTTCCCCTTCTCCTTTTCTCTTCCGGCTGCATTGGAAGCGCTGATCCTGGGGCTTCTGTCTCACCCCCATAGCCCTGCAGAAGCGCTGATCAGTTGTAGTTACCCGTGCCAATCCTGGGCTTCTGCCCAGCCCCCATAACCCTGCAGAAGCGCATGCCAATCCTGGGCTTCTGCCCAGTTGCCGTAGCCCTGCAGAAGCGCATGCTGATCCTGGGCTTCTGCCCAGTCCCCATAACCCTGCAGAAGCACGTGCCAATCCTGGGCTTCTGCCCAGTTGCCATAGCCCTGCAGACGCGTGTGCTGATCCTGGGCTTTTGCCCAACCCCCATAGCCCTGCAGAAGCACCGATCAGCTGTAGCTGCCCCTGCTGATCCTGGGGCTTCTGAGGAGCCCTGACAGCCCTGCAGCTCCAGCTCTCTCTCCCTCAGGCTTGTGCGGTGCTGCCGCTTCAACTCATTCCCCTCCCCCACTACACTTGTCTAGGACGGTCACGTACCACCTGCCAGGTGACAAAGTACCACAGGTGGTACGCATACCACCAGTGGAAAAGCCCTACATTAGAATACCAAAAGGGCACACTGAACCTCAGGCCAAAGTTCATGCCACAGGAACAGGAACAACTCCAAACACAAAAGCCCAAGAAGGTATAAAAACCCACCACTGCCAGCTCCATGTGGTCAGCCACCCCAGAAACACATGCTGTGTCACTGAAGTTTCTGGCAACTCAATAAAGAACCTTTCCAAAGAGCCTCCATTTTGTTTATTCCCAGCTTGCACTGGACCGATGAAGATTTTTCTTTCAACAATACTATTGCATAGGCTAGATTTTATACTGAAAGAAGACTGCAGATATTTTACCAAAAGATTTGTTCCCTATAATAACTCACTGGCAACCAAGTCTTAGTAAGACAAATAGTTTTGAATAAGGTTAAGCAAGCTATTTTAGACTAAAAAATGTAGGTATCAAATTTTAGCCATGTATGCATTCTACTGTTTCAGCTAATAGAGTGTAATTTGTCAAGGAAAATGGATTTAAGAAGAAAAAGTAGGTGGCATTCGTTTTGGTCTATTTTGATGTCATATAGCACTAAAACTTAAGCTCCTAAGAAGGCATAAAAGGGCTGATTGAGCTCAATTAACTCTTTAAGTAACCAATAAACAATAGCATTTCCGTCACCCAGCATGTCATAAGAGGATCCGGGGAGGGGAGAGAAGAGTGTAGCAACCTCCTCCAAAGGGTGCTGGGCAGTGAAAAGAAAGATGTGTTGCTTCATCAGTGGCAATATAACAATAATAACAATAATAACAATAATAACAATAACAACAATAATAATAATAATAAAGTTGGAAGGGACCTTGGAGGTCATCAAGTCCAACCCCCCGCTCAGGCAGGAAACCCTATACCATTTTGGACAAATGGCTGTCCAGTCTCTTCTTAAAAACTTCCAGTGTTGGAGCATTCACCACTTCTGGAGGCACGTTGTTCCACTGGTTAATTGTTCTCACTGTCAGAAAGTTTCTCCTTAGTTCTAGGTTGCTTCTCTCCTTGATTAGTTTCCATCCGTTGCTTCTTGTCCTGCCTTCAGGCGCCTTGGAAAATAGCTTGACTCCCTCTTCTTTGTGGCAGCCCCTGAGATATTGGAACACTGCTATCATGTCCCCCCTCGTCCTTCTCTTCATTAAACTAGACCGGGGTAGGCAACCTTGGCTCTTTTATGACTCGTGGACTTGCTGGCTCAGGAATTCTGGGAGTTGAAGTCCACGAGTCATAAAAGAGCCAAGGTTGCCTACCCCAGAACTAGACATACCCAATTCCAGCAACTGTTCCTTATGTTTTAGCCTCCAGTCCTCTAATCATCTTTGTTGCTCTTCTCTGTACTCTTTCTAGAGTCTCAACATCTGTTTTACATCGTGGTGACCAAAACTGGATGCAGTATTCCAAATGTGGCCTTACCAAGGCATTGTAAAGTGGTATTAATACTTCACGTGATCTTGATTCTATCCCTCTGTTAATGCAGCCTAGCACTGTGTTGGCTTTTTTGGCAGCTGCAGCACACTGCTGGCTCATATTTAAGTGATTGTCCACTAGGACTCCGAGATCCCTCTCACAGTTGCTACTATTGAGCTACTATTTGTTATGGGGAGAAGGCAGGTGAGCTTTCAGGTCAGTGCTCTTTATAGTTCCCTATTTCTCAAGCAAGACATTTTGGAGACAAGAGGTCTACGCCAATATTAAACCCGCAGTTTCAAAAAAAGTGTTCACTCTCCATCGTGAATCCCGCGCCCAAGCCAAGACATTAGTCCTGATAAGGCTCAAGGTCAGCGGTGACAGATCTGGGAAAGGAAGAGAAGAGACCAATCTAACAGCAGTCCACTGGTTAGAGCAGGCGAGAAACAGAGAAGGGAAAACAGCAGACGACGGCGCCGTCCCAACAAACGACTGGAAAGCGTAAATAGGAATGAAGAAGGCAGAAACGAGGGGGACAATAGCCCAAGTCGCGAAAAATTCCCCTTTGAAGGAAAGCCGCAGCCCGGTGTCCATGCAGCCTCTGATACCGAGACGAGGGACAAAGGGGAGCCCGTTTCTTACCGAAAGATTGGAGGTTCTGGATAGTGGACATGCGCTTCTGTGGTTGGGCGCTGCTCGTGGGGAAAAGGCCGCGGCTGGTTTCGCCCGGGACTCCCAGGTTCAGTAGTGGGGAAAAATAAAGGAAAAAATGCAAACCAGCAAAACCTGAAAGGGCAGAGAAGACGCAGCTGGGGGGGAGGGAACGGGGGAGGCGGCTACAACAGCGACAGTCGCTCACAAAATGGCCGACACCTCCTATTTCGGCTGTCGTTTTCCCAAGATAGGCCACGTGATGGTAATAGGCTTTTCACGGAAACCTGGGAAATCGAGTCCGGGTGAAGAAACTCAAAGCCTACTTTGCACAAGCTACAACTTCCGAAAGGCATGGCAGAACAGGGTTTTGTTTTTTGCCCTCTGCTAGCCTCCCCTAATTTTCGTTTCTTTCTACCCCTGAATATATCTGCTGATGGGACTCTGGTGGCAGAGCGACCAAGGCTAAGCCAGTGTTATCTCCTCCTGAAGTAGGGGAGGAAGTACAGTCACCGGGTTCACATTGCTCTGAAACTATGTTATGGCTCGTTTGATTTAGGCTTAGCATGTCATTTGAACATCATTTATGGGTTTGTGTGTTGAATAGCTAATTCTTAAAGGGGAATGTGCCTTTTTAAGCTAGTTCACTCAGCAGCTTGTCTTTTCTGTCTCTGGAGGCCTTTCCTTGTTTGATCAATATATGGAAGAGGGAAAATATGGGGGGGGGGGGTTCAAATTCTTCCTTCAGAAGGAGATGGGAATGAGAAAAAGGGAGGCAGGGAAGGGAGGCAGGGAAGAAAGTCCCGCCTTAGCACTTGGCCACCAGCAGCTCTGCCTTTGACTTTGCTTGTCAAAAGGTTGCAGAAGGGGATCACATGACCCTGGAACACTGACCATTATAAATATGAATCAGTTGCCAAGCATCCAAATATAAATCACATGACCCTGGGCATGCTGCAATGGTCATAAGTGTGAAAAATGGTCATAAGTCATTTCAGTGCAATTGCAACTTTGAACAGGGTTTTTTTTTGGTCATCAAGTTTTTGACACCTTGCTAGGTGGTACTCGAATATTGCCATATCCTAAAAGTGGTACAATCGGTAAAAAGGTTGAAAAGCCCTGCAATAGAGCACTCCAACAACATGCATATCCGGTGCCTGTAGTCAGCCACATTTTGGCGTCACTACAGGGAGGTTGCATATTCGCCAAGTTAGATTTGGCTCAGGCCTACCAGCAACTGCTGGTGGACGAGGCCACGGCGGAAGCTCAGACCATAGTTACCCACAGGGGAGCTTTCAAGGTTAAGCGCCTACAATTCAGGGTCAGTGTTGCCCCAGGGCTTTTCCAGGGAGTGATGGAGCGCACGCTCAAAGGTATTCCAGGCCTGTGTCCATATTTCGATGATGTCCTCATAGCTGGGGAATCAGTCGAGAAATTGGCAGAACAGCTCAAGGCCGTTCTTCAGCGTTTCCGAGAAGCGGGGCTGAAACTGAAATGGGAAAAATGCAAAATTGGGGTAGCTTCAACCGAGTTCCTCGGATTCCGCATAGATGCCAAAGGCATTCATCTTGCTGAATCCAAGCTCAAAGCAATTCAGCAGGCCCCGAGTCCTAAATCTAAAGGGGAGCTTCAAGCTTTTTTAGGACTGCTCAATTTTTATCATGCCTTTCTACCTCGCAAGGCCGCAGTGGCAGAGCCATTACACTGGCTCTTGGACAAACATGCACAGTGGAAGTGGACCAGAGTCCACGAGAGGAGTTTTTCAGCAGTCAAATCACTGCTGTCTTCAAACTCAGTTTTGATGCATTTTAACGAAAATCTGCCTGTCTGCATCGCTTGTGATGCATCACCATATGAGATTGGGGCTGTGCTGAGTCATTTAATGGCTGACGGAAGGCAAATTCCAATAGCCTATGACTCAAGGACCTTGTCCTCTGCAGAGCGTAACTACGCCCAAATAGATAAAGAGGCCTTGGCCATAGTGGCAGGGATAAAGAAGTTTCATGACTATTTGTATGGTAGGCCCTTCAAGGTCTTCACAGACCACAAGCCACTGCTGGGGTTGTTCACAACGAACAAACAAACACCCCAGATCATATCTCCTAGGACAGGGCTTTTCAACCTTTTTACCAATTGTACCACTTTTAGGATATGGCAATATTCGAGTACCACCTAGCAAGGTGTCAAAAACTTGATGACCAAAAAAAAACCCTGTTCAAAGTTGCAATTGCACTGAAATGACTTACGACCATTTTTCACACTTATGACCATTGCAGCATGCCCAGGGTCATGTGATTTATATTTGGCTGCTTGGCAACTGATTCATATTTATAATGGTCACAGTGTTCCAGGGTCATGTGACCCCTTCTGCAACCTTTTGACAAGCAAAGTCAATGGCAAAGCTGCTGGTGGCCAAGTGCTAAGGTGGGACTTCCTTCCCTGCCTCCCTTCCCTGCCTCCCTTTTTCTCATTCCCATCTCCTTCTGAAGGAAGAATTTGACCCCCCCCCCCAATATTTTCCCTCTTCCATATATTGATCAAACAAGGAAAGGCCTCCAGAGACAGAAAAGACAAGCTGCTGAGTGAACTAGCTTAAAAAGGCACATTCCCCTTTAAGAATTAGCTACTGGCTAGAAAGGAAAGTAAGGAGCGCAGCCGGCACTTAAGGAAGAAAAAAAAATGTAAGTACTGGCTGCCGGCTGAATGGCTCCATTCATAAGTAAAGGAATGCTACAGGGAAAATCCATTCAGGAGAAAAATACTTCAAAACCCCTTGCAGCAAAACTTACAGCTAACAACAGCAGAGCAATAGAAGCTAACAGGAGACATCAGCCATCAGCTAAATAGAAATTGCCAAACACTCCTTAAGAACACAAAGCCCTCATTGCACAAATCCCAGAACTTCAAAGTCACAAAAGCACATAAGAATCCTTCCACTCTCCATCTCCTTCCCTCCTCCGTGCCTCACCTCCAGCCATTGCTGCCTTTTTTCATTCCTCTTGGAGGGTGACCCCTCCCCCACTGCATTTCTTGCCTGTTTGCTGCTGCCAGCACAGGTGGCTGCCACAGCAGTTGTAGATGGCTTATGGCCAGCCTGCTTGATCTCCTCTCCCCCACCCCTCCTTCTTCCCCTTCGGTGGAGCTGACTCTGCCTCCTCCCAAGGCTGCTGCTTTTTCTCTCTCTCCCTCTCTTGCCCAAACTGCCTCCTTTTATAGGCTCTCCTGTCTCTGCCCCCCTCCTTCTTTCTCATGGGGGAGGGTGAGCCAGAAGTGAGCCTGGGGCCTTTGCAGCTCCAGAGGACTCTCTCACTGCAAGTCCTTGCCTGTGCTGGCTCTTTCCCTCCCCCACTACACTTGGCTAGGCAGGGCTGCATACCACCTGCCACTTATTAATGTACCACAAGTGGTACGCGTACCACAGGTTGAAAAGCCCTGTCCTAGGATGTTGAGGTGGTCAATATTCCTGTCAGCGTATAATTACAGTCTGATTCATAAACTAGGCAGGGAAATGGGCCACGCAGATGGCCTTAGCAGACTGCCCCTGCCGCAGTTAGAGTCCGACCCCGCTCCAGCCACGTGCATCCTGGCTATCCAGGACCTGCCTGAGTCTCCCCTTAACGCAGGGGACGTGGCTGCCAAGACAGCTTCAGACACAATGCTGAGCCGTGTGTTGAACTGGGTGCTCACAGGATGGCCAGAAACTAGTCCCGGGCCTAACTTTCAGAGTTTCAGTAGGAGGAAGGACGAGTTGTCAGCTCACAGGGGGTGTGTCTTATGGGGTAGTTGGGTGGTAGTCCCGAACTCACTGAGGGCTAGAGTCTTAGAGTCGCTGCACGAGGGACATCCGGGAATAGTCCGGATGAATGCACTCGCGCGAAGCTACCTTTGGTGGCCTGGGCTGGATAAAGACATTGAGGCTCAGGTTCACAGCTGCCACATTTGCCAGCAATCTAGACCAGAGATGCCCCACGCCCCAGTGCATCGATGGGAAACCACACAAGCCCCATGGTCCAGGATCCACATCGATTTCGCAGGGCCCTTTCAGGGGCAACTATTCCTCATTGTGGTGGACAGTCACTCCAAGTGGTTAGAGGTCGCACCTGTCCCTACTATAACTACTGCCAGGACCATCCAAGAACTGCGCAGGATTTTTGCCACACATGGGTTACCCAACGTGATAGTTTCTGACAAGGGCTCAGTTTACCGCTTCTGAATTCCAGTCCTTTTTGACGGCTAATATGATTAGGCATGCCACATCTGCTCCCTTTCACCCGGCCTCAAACGGCCAAGCAGAGCGCATGGTCAGGACGACCAAAGAGTCCTTAAAAAGGATTGTAACTGGCAACTGGCAGCATAGGCTAGCCGATTTCTTACTTTGCCAATGCACGACTCCCTGCACTTCCACGGGCAGAAGCCCAGCAGAATTAAGATGGGGCCGGCATTTGATCACAAAGCTGGATCGCCTGCATCCTGATAGAGTTGCATCACAAACAACACAGCCAAAGACACCACGGCGCTTGCAAGTTGGCGACCCGGTTTGGGTGCGGAACTACGGGCAAGGGGCACTGTGGGTGGTAGCTATGGTTTGTAAGGTGACTGGGCCACTTTCTTACGAAGTGGTCCTGGAAGACGGTCGTGTGCTACGCAGGCACATCGACCAACTGCGGTGGAGGTTAGCAAACCAGCCAATAACTCATGACTCTAGTGACAGTCAAACTCAGGAGCAGCACGATTGCAGTAGTGCATTAGATTCTGCCAGCGACGGCAGGACCCTCCGACTAAGGGACAAGACTCTAGCGCAGCGGTTCTCAACCTGTGGGTCGCAACCCTTTTGGGAGTCGAACAACCCTTTCACAGGGGTCGCCTAAGACCATCGGAAAACACATATTTCCGATGGTCTTAGGAACCGAGACACCGCTCCGCATCCGTCTCCGCATGGCCTCCTTCGCCATTTGCAGAGAGAGAGACAGAGATGAACTTTCGCTTCTCTTCTCTCTCTCTCTCAGGCGGACTTACCTCCTGCAGGGCTCCCGATTGGCCCTGCGACCGGGTGCCCCACCCCCTGGGAGAAGCGCGGCCAGGGCCTCGTGGCCGTGGAGCCGCCCAGGGAAGCCCCGGGATCCCTGCTGGGAGTGGCCCGTTGGAGGCTCTGCTGAGCGGGCCAGCCCTCCCGCAAGCTGCGGCCCAAGGGA